CTATAAAGAGGAATTAGTTTTACATTGGTATTTCACAACGCACTTGTGAAACTCCATGACCAAACCAAATCCCAGAACATCTTCACAATTGTTACTTAGCTACAAAACCAAAACAAACACAAAAACCAAATCAAAGAACAGAAGAGCTCGAAAGATCCCTCAACCTACTTACTGGCCCTGTCTACTGGTTGCTGTCACACACACAGGCATTTTCACCTCTTCTTCCAGCCCTGGAAAGTCTGAGTGACTAATTCTACTGGCGTGGAAGAGGAAGATGCTTGGGGAAAAAAAGATTCATGTGAATCATCTGCAACTAAACCTTCTGATGCTTGGGGAAAAAAAGATTCATGTGAATTATCTGCAACTAAACCTATATTTTCTCCCCAAATCTAATACTACTGTTTGTTAAAAGATGGTTTTGTTGTTTAGTATTTCAGTGCAGAAATCTTACCCTAAAGCAGCTAAATCAGGCCATTCAAAAAAACAAAGGGCAATTTCTTTCTGAACGTGCGGCCAGACTAGCAGGAGCTTTATCTTCAGTAAGAAACTGCCAGCTTCTCAGGAACGATTACCTATGATGGCACGTGCAAATAGTGGCAACCGCACAGAAATACCATTTCTGCTGCATATAATTCAAAATTCTGTCCATAAAACAAGTTAAGAAGTACTGCAAGAAAAATAACTTCAATGCATGTCAGTCTCAACCATTCAGAATGTCAAACACTTTAATATAAAGTATCATCTCTGAGGGAAAACTTTTGCCATTCATCGTTATTTATAGGTAATAAACCCCAGTCAGTTTAAGAAGTGTGTGTTACCAGAGGCCTAAGGAAGGCTCCCGTAGAACAGAACACAGATAAACGTGACAGAGCCCTCCAAGATGGACCAGGCTGAAGACAGAACCTCCCTAAAATTTCCTGGGCTTCTTCGTTACTCTCTCCAAGCGATGTTATCAAGAAACTCTGTAACAGAGATCTTAAAATACAATGCGGAATGTATTCAGATAACTTCAGACAACCTCTAGTACCACAAAGAAGAGGCCTGGAGTAGTTTGTATGTAAACTGGTCCTGGAGTTGGCAGGACATTTATTTTCCATCCTTCTCCACTTATCACATTTATTATGTGATCTCTTCAGAGTCCCATCACTTCCTCCTCCAGACTTAGAAGGAAAAAGGAAGGAACTGAGGTACAAGTATAAAATCACAGAATGGTAGGGGTTGAAAGGGACCTCTGGAGATCATCTAGTCCAACCCCCTGCCAGAGCAGGGTCACCCAGAGCAGGCTGGACAGGAACACATCCAGGTGGGTTTGGAATGTCTCCAAAAAAGGAGACTCCAAAGAGGACTATGTAGAAACCAGAGAGAGCCATAGACCTGGGGAAATGCACACACTTTCATCTGAGAATTGTATTTCTCAAATAATATGAGTGACCACTATCGCTTGCCCTGAGAAGAAAAACAGGGGAGTTTGGAATGTCTCCAGAGAAGGATACTCCAAAGAGGACTATGTAGAAATCAGAGAGAGCCACAGACCTGGGGAAATGCACACACTTTCATATGAGAAGTGTATTTCTCAAACAATATGAGTGACCACTATCGCTTGTCTTGAGAAGAAAAACAGAGAAAAAAAAAGAAGGTAATATTTGGACACATTTTTTCTGCAAAGAAAACAAAATCTAGCATACAACTTTCCCCCTCATGCCTACCAGAGGATGACACGGGACAAACAGTGCCCATCATTAAGCTGAGAAGGCAGCTTTTCCTCAGATGACCCTTGGGAACAACTCATCTCTCACTTTTCTCATGGGCCCAAAATAAATCAGCATTATAAAGAAAACCTCTGATGTTGTGCATTCAAATAGACAAGAAAAATGCAGGAATGGATAAGCTATTCAGTGGGATGACAGGGCTTTAAAAAAAATCCTTAACTGTGAGTGCAATATAAATTTATATTGTTCCTGCTGCTTTTTTCCCCAAGGGCTTTCACATTGACATCTTTTGTAAGAAAGAAAAATCAAGAAAGGAGAGCAAAACTGTTTCAGCTGAATGAAATGGTCATTGGCTGCACTGAAGAATTACAGTCAAAGAAACTGAGACAGTTTAAGTGATCAGATTTGGTACTTCAAATGCTAAATAATAATTTTGACGGGCCAATCTTAATTGAAAAGATCAATAACATGGAGTGGATCTTGCAGCAACATGTGTCCGCCCAAGAGCACAACATTTAGCTATTGGAGTGGATCTTGCAGCAACATGTGTCCGCGACACTGCAATTTCAAAAACAGGAAAAACTGTGTTAAGGGAAGATTATTCTCGAAGCAACTTAACTCTTCCCTCTTTGAGCTGAACTATGTTGCTAATAGACATAATTAAACACAACTTTTGACGTTTTTGAACACAGATGCTGCAGAACACTGAACAGAGAGGCACCAAACGATAAAATGGTAACATTTGAGTTTGATCATGAAAACATATCAAGGATTAGATATGAGTAAGTTTCTCTCAAAACAGTAAACCTGCTTCATGTAATCAACAAACATTTGCTAAAGATTAGAAATTTCTCAATTTTGCCTTGAAAATTATTTTTCCTCACTCCCTCAGTTAAAAACAAAGACCCTGCCACACGTGTCATCACACAGCTCTCAACTGACAAGACAAGAAGATCATTGAGAAATATTAGGATGATTATTATTATATTATTATCCAGACCAACCTTTACAGAGGTTTTGTTGCTTGGTCTAAATCTCAGAGATAATACACTTTTAAAAACTAATTCCAGATGAGCTTCCTTTGTTAACCTTAACTAAAAATTTTTACTTCTTTTCCAATACAACTAATTTATGTATTCTACTAAAGATCATTAGCATCTCATTGAATTGAAACATCAGGCTTTTTAAGTTTGAAAGAATTCTTTCTATATTCAGTCAAATTTGAGAAATTAATCTAATTAATTTGTACCAAACATAACACTTTGCAAAATAAAGAACAAAACCAGCTTCAACAGGCTGGGGGCGGGGAGGAGAAGAGCTGGTTTTTCGTATGTTCTATGAAACAGGGTTTAATTCTTTCAATATTCAAAATGCAAAAGCCATGTTATAAAAAATTAAGTACGTTGAAGTGTTTTAATGCACTGGAGCTGAAGAAATGTAGCCACAAATACGCCTAGGACTAAATTAAACTCACAGAGCAAAAGGGAATACAACAGAAATCCAGCTACCACATGGACAGTCAGTCCCTCAGAGAGCAGGTTCTGGTCCACTGAAATTGCATTTCTTCCTAAGCACACAGACTAGTGTCAGTGGATATTCTGCTCTTTCAGGAAAAAGAAAAAAAGATGGACAGTATATGAACAAGAACATACAAATAGATATACTTTTCAAGAACTTTCAGGTGACAAAATTCCTGCAACTGTAGACTGTAAGTACTCACAGCCCTACACAAGATGTTCTGGAGAGCAATTTTTCTGTTGTATATTTTTCATGTTTGTGTTTTGGTTATTCTGATAAAATTTTTTCTTCTGTAAACACAGCATAAAAAAATAAGTAGACTTAACTAATATTAAGAAAGGCTTCACTATTGCTTTTTACAGTTGACTTAATTCCCAGTGAAGTGGTCTATGTTTGACACTGTCAGGAAGAGATCCCTCTAGGGCTAAAATATACTTTAAGAACCATATACTGAAATGGTTTGGTTTTAACATCAAGAGTGTGAACTATTCAACAAAAGGGGCTTCAGAAAGCTTGTATTACCAACAGCTATAAAACAAACCTTTAAAAATTCCAGCAAACTGCAGCAAAACATTCCCAAGCAGTATTTAATATTGATAAGCAACAGTCTTAGCTGACTGGAAGAGTTTTGAGAACAGGTTTGAAGAAGGGTGTACTAACGCATGAGGTAAGACTTAAGTTGTGATGAAACTTCTGAAAGTCTATTTAAGAAGTAGCTTTTTTACTCTTCTCTCTTCGTTTTGCAAGATCCTGAAGGACAGGTGAGCAGTATCCATCCAGTATTATATAACCATACCCAAAAGGACTTGTACACAATGAGTAATTAAACTACTAGGAAGCCTAATGAGATCCACAATCAGTGGAAGGAGTGACCGACAGAAATGAAACTACACAAGAGAAGACAAAAGGCTTCGAGCAGAAGCCTGCACCATCCACCAGTCAAAAGTTTAACAGTTTCCACTGGACAAAAATAGGAATATTTTCATGGAAACAGTTAGGTCTAGGAAATGTAATATCACCACTGCTTCATCCTTAGATCAATCTGAAAGATGTATCTAGATGTCTGGTTTTAGAAAACATGCAAATTTTAACCACTCTTTATAACTCAGATATTCAGTCCAGGCAGCACAGCTTACTGGTTATTTACAACATCATGCAAAAATTAACAACTACATTCACAGGTCTAGCCCAAAAACTATTTTTTTCTCCCCATTCCAAACAAATGGATATTCTAGTATGATGCATAGGACAGAAACACAAGGCTTTGACTTTGGTGAGGAAACCTATCCCCTCGGAACTGGAACGGAACTTTAAATACAAATATGCGTCTTACAGATACCTGTAACACAATTTTTCTTGGAAGGAAACTTTTTTTTAAACTTTAGTGCTCCAGCTGAGGTAACTTTTAAAAAAATAAACAAATCAGTGAACTCAATGAAATGTTAACTGGCCCTTAATGATAGTGATTCAAATGTAGATAGATATGCAAAAATGTATTTGTTAAAACCTCAGTGCAATGAAAGCAAATTTTATTTTTCTCTACTGAAAAAAAAAAAAAAAAAAAAAAAAAAGCTTTTTTTTAAAAAAAGCTACTTAATTAAGTACTTAATGTACGTGTGAGCAACAAGGAGAATGTGAGATACTGATCATGATAAAAACAGAAACCATATTACTCAATGAGTTTCACGGCTAGAACCACGTAGGCACTCTTTTTCTCAAAAAAAAAAAAAAAAAAAAAAAAAGAGCTCTTTGTATAGAGATTTGATGCCTTACCTCCAGGTCACAGCTGAATTCCGTGCCATCCAGGAGCATCACTTTGCACTGCACAGTTTTACTTTTCTTGGGAGACTTCTGAGGAACGCTTTCTGGTTTCATTTCACCTGTCTGCACTTCTTTTGTCTCCCTTTTTTCTTCTTGATTTTCTTCCTTCTCCTCTGCAACTTTCTCTACTTCCGTTTCTTTACCATCTTTGGCAGGCTACAGAAAATACAGGTAAACAATAACTTGTTCATTTCTTTTATAAGCTGCTAATAAATAAGATGTTAAGCTTTCATTAAAATTATGCACATACTGGAATCACAATAACCAATGTAAGTATTAAGATCTTCCTTTGGGGGCCAGATATTGCTCTCAAACCACTAAAGGTGCCTTTTTTTCTTTCTTTTTCCGATTTTTGTTTCTTTCTTTCTTTGAAATTAGCTTTTTTTATTTAACATTTCATTGGCTTTTTTTCCTAAGAGAAACAAATTTAACAAGAAGCTCCAGGAATTATACAAAATGAAAAACAGCATTTATGAAAGTGAATATATAATCACAGAATGGTGGAGGTTCAAAGGGACCTTTTGAGATCATCTATCTAGTCCAATGGGACCCTCTAACCAGGACTATATCCCAGTAGGGTTGTGAATACTACCACATCTTATCAAGGTGATAAGATTCCCCTTGAATTTTCACTTCTCCAGGCTGAACAATATCAGCTCACTCAGCACTTCCTCACATGCAAGATGATTCTCTGTGCCCTGAGTCATCTTTACCACCCTAGAATGGCAGCTTTGACTGTTACGCTTGCAACTTTTCAAAAAACAAGGCTCTGGAACTCAGCACCAACATCCCAGGATGAATCACTAAGGACAGTGACCACAAGCAATGGTTTCTAGGTAAAGGATAACAAAAACTGAGATGATAAGGACTCAGAAATTTGTTACTTCTTGTGGTTAAGTCATGAAGGAGGTCTTCCTGCGATCCAATGGCTTCAGAGACAGAGCTGACTCAAGAAGCTTCTCTTTTTATCCTTGCTCATTTCTACCACAGAGACAGCTTGACTCTCTTTTTATCCTTGCTCATTTCTACCACAAAGAGACAGTTTGAAGTTCCTTCAAACTATGCCAAAGTGTGAGGTTACACTAAAATTAGACATCTAGAACAACTGAAGCAAAAAATGGTCTTTAAATCTAGCTACGCTACTCACAACTCTATCAACCCAACTGCACAAGAGGCCCAATGCTGTAATTTTTTCCCCCAATATGATCCTAACAATAAATTATATGAACCTAACAATGAAGCTCAGGGCAGTGGTTGAGGCACCATCCCTGGAGGTGTTCAAAAGCCGGGTTGCCATAGTGCTTAGTGACATGGGTTAGTGATGGTTTTTATCAGAGTTAGGTTGGTGGTTGGACTAGATATCTTAAAGGTCCTTTCCAGCCTAGACAATTCAATGATTCTACATATGATCCTTACGTTGCTTAGAGACATGGGTTAGTGATGGTTTTTATCAGAGTTAGGTTGATGGTTGGACTAGATATCTTAAAGGTCCCTTCCAGCCGAGACAATTTGATGATTCTATATATGATCCTTACATGAATTATGTAAATCATGAATCAGGTCTCATTAAAATGACTCCAAAGCACCCGTTCTCCTTCCCACACGTACCTGTGTTTCAGCACTACTGACAGAGTGTTTCTCCTCCTTGTCTTCTGCTTTTGCATTATGCTGATTTTCAGCTGACGCTTCTTCTAAGCTCTTTTTGGGCTGAGCCGCCCCCTCTGGTGTCTGGCACTCACTTTCTTCAACTACTCCTTCTTCCCCTGCGGGCCTTTTCTTGGTCTCATCTTTGGGCTCTGCCAAGGTGTAGGATTTTTGTTTCTTAAGCCAGGGGGGAAGGAAACGGGAAATACCCTTGCTTTCAGGTGAAGCTTTTTCCTTCTTCTGGCTGCTTGGACTACTTGGGCTAGTTGGTGCTGGGGCAGAGGAAGAGTCTTGAGCTTCTTCAGAGGATGTTTCCGTGGACTTTTGATTTACTGGAGTCTCTGATGCTTCTTCAGGCTTGTCCTTGGCTTTGTCTGGTCCCAGCTGCTCAGAATCTTTCTTTACTTCAGTCTCTGAGCCAACTTCAGTTGTCATTGTCAGAACTTACACTAAAAACAGTAATAACAGAAATAGTTTTGTTATTTAGCATTATTACTGACACATTATTTGCAGTAATTTTTAGTAATAGAAATAGTTTTGTTATTTAGCATTATTACTTTTACTGACACATTATTTGCAGTAATTTGTAGTAACAATCTACAAGAGTTTCTAAATTAAATTTATTTGGGTTAAAGAAATGCTTCTTTTCAAATGCACAGCTCACAAGTAAAGCCAGAAAGCTAAAACGTAAAGATTTTCCAAGATATTACTCTAGAGAGATCTCCCAAAAGTTTTCTTCTCCTTGATAAAAATGTGAGTGTACCTTTACTCTTAGACCTAACATAATTCTTCCATGGATTTTCCAAGATATTACTCTAGAGAGATCTACCAATAGTTTCCTTCTCCTTGATAAAAATGTGAGTGTATAATTCTTCCATACTCCTCCTCATCCACACCTTTTCAGCAAAGAAACAACCAGTAGGTTTACGGTTGACAGTACCAGAAGCAGACATTGATTTTAGGTGGAAAGTCACAGCTTTAGCATTTAAGTTTTAGTTTATAGACAAATCTGTTGCATTTAAAGTTAAGGGTGTATTTTCACAATTCCCTTATCTTAGTCCACGGTGAACCAGTCAGTGGTGGGGATGAAGGAAAAGGAAAGAGCAAGATTCCCAAACAATAGGGAAAAAGGATGGTGAGCACGATACTGGGTGGGGATGAAGGAAAAGGAAAGAGCAAGACTCCCAAACAATAGGAAAAAAGGATGGTGAGCACGATACTGAGTATAAAAAGAATTGGAAATTGTAAGGCAGTGATACTGTTGAAATTGCTAATAATGCTATGAAGGATACTTTCCTTTTTTTCAAAATAAGATTGGGTTCTAAATCATGAGTTTATACTGATCAACATAAAATCATGCATAACTCTTACACTCTGACCACTTCTGCCTGCTCTTCCTTCAGTGAAATTAAAGAAAAATCATAACACTCTAACAACAGGATATGTGAAAATAGTCTTTCATCTTAACATTATTTGCCATTTCTTGAAAAAATATTAACTAGAATAAACAAATTGTGTTAGCTGTGCAGCACTGGATTTGACTGCATTACTTTGAAAATGTAATAGAACTAATTTTCCCAATTTATTTTAGTGTGCCAGCAAAAATAAGCACACCAGGGTCCATCAAACAAAGTTTAAAATGGTTAGATCACCAATATTTATTTACAACCTTCTTCAAACAATTAGTTTTAAACTGCTCGTCTGTTTGTCTGGCCTTTAGGTTAGCAGATTAGTTAAAATCTCATTTATAACTTTACTCTAGCACAACAAACTTTATTAACAGCTTTATTAATATTTGTGTAAGTATTATTTCTTTCAGAGGCAACAGGCCCCCAAAAGGCAGGTTCCATTTGATTAGCTCTTGAGATTAAAGAATTTGCTGTTTCAAGCCACATATTAGATGATCTTAAAGGTCCCTTCCAACCTAGACTATTCTATGATTCTATGATTAGTATGCTAATTTAAAATATGAAGTTTTAAAGGTGCTACTAGTCAAATTACATTTTGCTATCACCTTCAGGTCTTACACAGAATTGCTTGTTCTTTCCTAAGGGTAGGTGTCAATCTTAATAATACTAATAATACCGTAAAAGTTAATTATCAAAATGAACAATATATAGAAAACCAAAATCAACTTTCCGTGAGAGAAAAATCCAAACTTCTACTGATCAGAGAACAGCAATCCTAAAGTCAAAATGGACTTTTCATTATTAATTGCTGATTTTTTCTCATGCATCTCTAAGAAGGAACCAATTTCTCTTACTAATTACGCACTTGCACTTCCAAATATTAATGTTCACATGGATTATACATAAGAAACCAAAAAGAGAGCAATGAACACCTGAAAAATATACATGAAAACTTGAAACAAAGTCATGTGTACTTCTACTACTTATTTCAGAGCTTTTTTGCTTTGTTTTAAAAAAAGTGGAGTTCTTTCATGTCGTGTTATTGATTTGAAGCACAGAAAACTGCTCTCCATTTCACAGTTGGTTAAGACAGGTAAGTTATGAACAAGATGCTCGCCGGTCTCAATACATAAAATTTGTTGCCATAAAAACCATAAAGTAGTAAAATCCTGGCGGAAACAGTCATTGTGTCACAAAACAGTCAGAGTGTAAAAGGGTCTGGTTTAACCACTGGGGAATCTAAGGAACTTGATACTACCCCTAGAAGGTTTCCAAAAGCATGAATCAGTTCTTTTCTCTAGAGTACAATAACTTATACTTCAAATGAGGATGAATGTACTGACCATTTCTGTTAAATTTTAAAACTTGTATTTTATTATCAGTACGTAAACAAGAAAGCTCCTGGCATCACATGGTTCCATGCAGCATCCTTTTGCTGAAGGTGCCAACATACCCTGCACACATCCCATTAGCACACAAAGCAAAAAGGAAATCCAATTTCACCTTGGAGTTATTATTTAGGTGCATTACTACAATTTCAAAGATATGGAGCTCTCTGAATGCAAAGAAATCAATTACTAACTAAAGAATACAGTTTTCAACTTTGAGATCTTTAAGGAAGCGAAAACATCCCTAAAATTGTCTTAGCTACATTAATTCACAACATTTACATTGTGTGGCTTCCAATAAAATATTGAGCTGCAGTCAAGCATCAATTTCAAAAAGCCCCAAATCTCCTATAGGAACTTGCATCCTTCTCTGTGTTTATACATACACAGGAGTGTATAGACATACAAACAGACATACTTTGCCTACTGAATTTAATTATTTGGATCGAGTTCATTTTTAATAAGCACATTGCTGAAAAAAATAGATGAGACTAAATTCCAAAATCAACAGCTTAGCAAACTACTGAGTATGTTTAACAAAGTGACAGCAGAGAACCTGCAGAAAAACACGTTTTGTATGTACAAAATCTAATCACTGATTTTCAAGCTGAAGGAGGTTTTCAAGGCTGGAGAGACAGACTGGGACTCGGCTTTTTTCTGGGTCCCACCAGACAAGACCAACAGAGCTGGGGCCTGAACTGATCTTATGCTGTCACAGCTCTTCTTTGCAGGCTTAGAAGGTGGTGCATTGATAAACAAAATACCAAGAACAATCCTATGCCATGTACAGCCCCCCAAAATCCCCAATTATTTCTTTTTAAGCCTCACAGATCATGGAAGAGCCGTACGCCAATAATCCAGGTGAGCAGCCAACTAACGCAGTGTTACAATTCAGACTTTTGCCATTGTGATAGTATCTCCTGCTAAAAATGTTTACCCCAAACAAAAGCAAAGTGAAAGTCACCCTTTTTCCTTTTTCCATGATTCTGCCCCAACTGCCTCCTAAACTGAAGGTACTTGCAGGGAGGGAACCAGGTGAGCAAACTGTCCTTGCCAGTCTGTGCATCCGTCAGCAGATGGTGCCATAATAGCTCTCAAAAATCAGAAGCACGTTTCAAAGGTCACACTTTAAACAGCAAAGCTATCCCAATTTCAAGTGTGGTTCCCAAGTTACGACAAGTAATCAAAACGTTTTCACGTAAGTATATTTTAATAAATGTAACTTGTTATTTTTAGCCTTTGTGTTTACACCTATGTCATCATGCAGCTGAGGATTTGCAAGCAACACATTTCCCTCCCAAATACAGTAGCCCACCCACGTTACTAGGAAAACATTTTTATCCTTATAAAATATTGAAATATCATCAGTCTCTGGAACTAATTTTCATAGTGCTAGAAAATCACTGCAACCATGTCATCACGCCTCGTGATACACAGGAGTTGCCAAAAAAAACACTGACAAGTCCCCGCGCAGGGTGGTATGAACTTAAAAGATACTTCTGAAACGACGACGTAAGAGTAATTCTGAAGCTCACTGTGAAGTCCAAATAATAAAAAAAATAATCAAGGATACAGCCAGCGAATGAAAGGAGACAGAGAAAGCTATTTCTGTCTGAAATGGCAAAGCGAGTATCTCTAGTCTAGATAATGTTATTGTGAAAATATGCTATTATGCTGACGCATTGCTGTGAAGTCACTCTAGGGAGATTATCTCAACTGTCTGTAAAGTCAAAATAAAATCCAGGAATGTGACTATTTCTCAAAATCTTTTTCCCATTAAAGCAGCACAACAGCATGTACCTAATTCCCTACTACTCCGGTGCTCCCAACTTTCCATAAAACACCTGCTGCATCCCCACTGTCTGATGAAGACCTTTGTTACTGCAATCCATACACAACTTAAAAGGATTAGTTCTAGAGGATAATTCAGTTGAAGGGAAACAACTCTCCAGAAAGGAAAGATAATACCATTAGACAGGAAAACAAGCGAGAATTCTTTAAACACTGTTTTGTTAAAATTTGCCTCCTGACACTAGGTAGCAGCTTAAAAGAGTCTAATTAATTAAACATAGAAAATATTAGAAAGTGCTGTTTCTGGAACTAAATGAAACACACCAAGAACTGTGTAACAGCACCCACACAATGTATTAAGTTTATCATAAACAAACCCAAAAATATCAACAAAATCAGAACGTAAACATAGAAAATATTAGAAAGTGCTGTTTATCATAAACAAACCCCAAAATATCAACAAAATCAGAACATAAATACCTTCCAAGTGCTACAGGTAGCCACGCTGCGATGCCCACATCGAAATGCCTTTGAGATTACATTTAAGCAAACACCCATCCTGCCTCTCCCCCAGCACTATCTATACATCACCCAGAGACAGCACAAATCTCTTCCTTTTGCATTTTCAATCTACAAATACTCTGCTGTATCAAGGCAGAAAAAATAAATCTCAAAGAGGAACTTAATTCAGCTCGAGAAACCCCTCTTTGCCAGGGTATACATGCAGATATGGAATCTGTTTATCAAGCTACTTCTGTGCTGTTCCCCAGCTCTGAAAAAAAAATGTTGTAAGCGGCTGAGAATCCCACAGCCTTTTGCAAAGCTGTATTGAAGGAGTGACCCCACCCCGGCCCTGACACC